GGGTCTCGCCGACGGATAGCTAGTTTGTGTTCGTTGATACGGGTGCCCAGGCATCGACCTGTATGGCCAACATACACGCAAGAGCAATTAGCACACGGGATGCGATAAATTACATTCGTTTGTTGCTCTTTGGGGAGGGGGTTCTTCACTCGAGATATTGCTGCGCGTAGTGAAGATGCCGGTTTGTGGGCAACGCGAATACCCAGGCGGCTGTGCTGCCGAGCGATTATTTCGGAAGTTCCACGCATATATGGCAAGGAGTAGAATTTTCGCGTAACAATCTCTCCGTTGGGGGTGGGGTCTTGCGACTGTGTCTGGTGCCTGAGACAGTTCTTAACAAAACTGATCGGATATCCGTTAGAGCGGAATAACCGATACAGGTGAGCAAGCTCTTTGTTCAGGAGATCGTTGTTGTTACAATAACGGTAGGCCCGGTGGAACAGAGTTCGGACGCAGCTTCTTTTGTGAGCTGCGGGGTGGTTGCTTCCATAGTTGAGGATAGTCTCAGAGTTAGAGTCTTTCCTATGGACGCTCGTTGCCAGGGCACCATCGCCCAACTTCTGTATTCTCACGTCCAGAAACGGCAAGCTGTCTCCAATTGCCTCTTCGCGGGTAAACTGTATGGCTGGGAAGACGTCATTCAGTCTCTGGTGAAGACGTTCGACTTCGCACTTCTTTATTATGACAAAGGTGTCATCAACGTAACGAAGCCATAGTTTAGGCTGGATAGTTTGGAAGACTATCTCTTCTAGTCGCTGCAAAACTAGTTCGGCGAGAAGTCCTGATATTGGTGAGCCCATCGGGGTTCCCTTTACCTGTTGATAGTACCTATTATTGTCTTTGCCCATGCACTCGAGTACGACCACCGATTCAATTGGGATGGCACTGAGGTCGTCGCCATAGCTAACACAAAGCGAGCGAGGGAATTTCTCGAGGCTTGGTACTCCGATGCGGGTAGTATCAACCGCCACGTTGATTTAGATGCCCATTACGAGGGTCTACGTTCACGAATGACTGCCCCCTGCCCTAATCACGCATCAACGACCGCGAATACAGCCGCCCGTATTCCAACTGATTCACCACCCGCCCTCCCCCTCCAGTACGGCGTGCCGTAATTGTTCCGCCTCCTCTCCCTTTCCCCGCCCCTCACTCAGTGACCTACCATGACCTCGGGAGCCCACCCAACCACCCCCCCCCTCACACGTCAGTGTTCTGTTCTGTCCTATCACGCTAACTGGTCTACTGTGACAACATAACTTTCTCCCTCGTTTTCATTTCGTCTGACGACGGGTTGGTGTCACCAGCTCGAAAATTCACGAGTAAAACTCGATTTTTTCCGAAGAACCACTTCTTCTTTTCATTATATCAACTCGGAATGCATACCCCCTCTGAGCTACATATATATATATTTATATATCAATCAGGAATGGGCGCACACCGATCTATTGGCTTCACAAAGCAAACAAGCTCCGTATGTGTGGCAAAGGTCACGAACAGGCAACCAATTACCAGGCCGAAGTCGGCCAAGTCATAATAGCAGCGAGGAGGGACGACGGAGAATGCGGGTAGATTGATACAGCACTGTTTCGGGCTTATTCTGCCTTCATTCAGCCAATCATAACCCTGACCACCAGCAGCTGCGACCAGAAACACAAACATGCGCACAGACGCACCTGGCGCAGTCGGTCCACCACTGAGGCCTACCAGATGGGTCATAAGCACTTCATCGAACCGAAGTTCATCAGTGCCTCGCCACCTGTCATTCTCTGTCGCTGCAGATCGGGTATTTATCAATCAGGAATGGGCGCACACCGATCTATTGGCTTCACAAAACAAACAAGCTCCGTATGTGTGGCAAAAGCCCAATTTAGTCATGGTACGGGGGGCGCTAGTCGTACCGCGGCGCTTGTAGTCGGAGGGGGCAGCGGAGGGGCTTTATCTCAGGTTAGTCCCTGTGTCCAGGGACATTTCCAATCGTTCTAACCCGGTCGAACAGGGTGTGTGTCGAGCACAATGCAACCTAGTTCGCCCTTACAAGACTCTCACCCAAGCACAACATTTTTGAAGAGTTAGTTGTTGAACATATGTTTTCGGTAACTCATCATCAGGCCGATACACTTACATGGGTAATGATCATTCTGATTGTAGACAGGATATAAATGCGTATTCTTCACAAACTCCCCCCTACTACGGTTGGGGAGCAAAGACCGGCTGCCGTTAGAGGCCACATCCATGTGTACTTATTCATTCACCTGTTCCTGTGGAACGGAATATATTGGCCGTACAACGAGGCGTCTGGAAAAGGGAATACGCGAACACATGTTTGCCTGGCTAGGCAGAGGTGAAAATCGATCGATTTTAAGTTCAATTCTCGCACATCTAATCAATACGAACCACCAAGCCGACGTTAAAGAAACCTTTAAAGTTATCTACTGGGCAGCGGCACACTACTCTAAAGGCCTGCGCAAACGGGTGCTAGCCACAGCCGATGCAATGGCCATTCGACTAGCGAGCCCATCACCCTGTTATCAGAAGACGCTGACACAAGCAGTCTGTCTGCCCTGGCCGGCTCCAGACGGTGATCGCACGCCGTCCCGACGCCCCCAGAACAGTCACGCGCAATCACAGTGCTTACAGTG